GCTGCCCCTTCAGACAGTGGGGGTCAGGCCACTAACCCGACCGACCTACTATTCCTCCAAACCGAAGACTACTCGCCTCCGTCGCCTTCCTCACACCACCACGTCGTCCAGAATATAGTCGATTAATAGGGACACAAAGGAGGTCTCCCAAAAAAGGGGAGGAGTGTTATTGTGTGGATAGCAATCAGACCGAGGTTTTACCCTAACTTGAGGTTAAATATAGCTACTGTCGACTGCAGGCGTGTAGAAGACAGTGTCCTTAGTTGTGGGTTGGACAAAGTTTCGTGGAAAAGGTATTTTTTTTCTTTTAGTATCACTAGAGTGAACCAAACTATCGTGAACCAACCCAAATAATTATCGAAATCCATGAAAGTCCTAAAGAACGAAAAAACCACCAGATAGAAGTACGCAACTACTGAGTAACAACAGCGAACTGTTGTAACAGTCGATTTACTTTACATTACATATCTCGTGTTCTATTTTGTCCGCGTAAAAAAGAACAACCGGAGTATTTAAAAAAATTATCGGTATATCTTCCACCGAAAAATTAGTTGGTAGTCGACGTTCAATTTGCCACCCCATCCATTCAAACTCTTGGCCGAGCTCTAGGTGAACACAATAGTAAGGTACCTTACGAGATTGTAGGGCTATCGTTACCTTATAGACTTCACCGAAACTGTTTTTTTAGGAATTTTTTACAGTAGACACCTCGGCACGCGACATTTTTCGGCTGGTAAGATACGACTCGGCCGGGCCGGATTTCATTGACCTACCGGGAGGACAGGACAGATCGCAAGGAGACACGTGTTGAATAAGAGCACGGGAGTAACCAGTACACGCGCAAGCACCCACAACCTCTCCCGAGACATCCCCGAAAAGGCCGTACACATAAGTAAAGCGTCGTGAGCTCGACCAAAGAGGTTTTACTGGATGGGGTGGATAATTGTCATATCCTAGATTTAAGTTGAGAATAAAAACGTAAGTTGAGGAGGCATTGAAAAGGTTTTATTTTTTACCAGATTTTGTTGATCTAGAGGCAAACATAAAACAGCACAGAAATGAAGTTAATAGATTTTCACACCTTGTAAAATGTTTGGGGTTTTTAGACACTAAATCTAATTCAAATATTATAACATTAGGGCGCCAGTATTTAAACTGAAATCGCAAAAAATTCGGTGTAAAAAATGCTAGCAAAATCTAAAACCTATAAAAATTGGTATATAAGGTCAGTAAACTGCCATATATAAAATGTTATATCTATGATGCCAATCTTTTGATATCATCGTCGGTTTGTTGTAACCCCCTTACGTCAAAAAGAGTTGAGTCACGAAAATTTTCAAAATTTTTGTACCAGCAAAACAAACTCGGGGACACCTATTAAGCCGTGGACAATTTTAGGAGGACTTAGTTTCCTTGTTAATTTGGATAATCTCTGATCAACGTACTGTTGTTTCGAGAAAGCTAGTCAGGTCTTTTCTGCACAATTATACTAGTCTAAGTTTCTCTCTGCGAGCCTGTACCGACATTTTTGCAATGTGGTAATGACTAAGTAAGTCCAATAAACATAGTAGTTTAATCTCTCAATTGGTTTATTTTATGTTTGTTTCTATAAATGGTGACACTTTCACCCCCCCGAATCTAAATTTAGTCTGGTGACTAACCGAGAAATGCGATTACTCGACTTAACTGTATAATGTCTCCCGCCCTTCAATCACCTTCATGGTTATGAAACAATGACAATGAATTCATGTAAAAAAGACCAGTCATGAAATGAGGTGAGAATAAATAGACTGCGAAAAATGAAACTGAAGAATTTACAACTGAGTTTATTGACATGAAGATGAAGAGTGTAAAGGTTTGTCGACCAAAGGATAATCAACTTCACACAACCACGCACTAGTAATAAATAAATCATCAGAACGTCACGGACAACTAAAGTGTCCGTGCGTTACTGAGATTTCATTATATAGGCGGTGGTTTGTGTGTAAGTTTGATATCCTTGGTCGTACAAACCTTTCACTCTTACATCTTTCATGTAATAAACCAAGTTGTAAATTCTTCAGTTATCATTTTTTCAGCAAAGTCTTTTTAATTCCATCACTATTTCATGACTATGGTCTTTTTACATGAATTCATGTCATTTGTTTCATAACCCCTGAGGTGTGTATCGAAGGGCGGAGACATTATAAGTTAAGTCGAGTAATGCATTTCGTCGGTTAGCACAGGACTAAATTTAGATTCGGGGCGGGTAGAAAGTGCTCACACTTATAGAAACCAACATAAAAATTAAACAAATTGAGAGATAAACTACTAGTTTATTTGGACTTAACTTGTCTTACACACATTGACAAAATGTCAGGTACAGGCTCGTCAGAGAGAAAACTTAGACTTAGTTATAAATTTGTGCAAGGAAAGACCTGAATTAGCTTCCTCAAACAACAGTTCGTTATCGAAGAGATTACTCCTAAAGATGTAACAAGAAACAAGTCCTCTAAAATGGCCACGCAATAAGGTTCCCCAGAGTTTTGTTTGTCTGGTAACAAAAATTTTGAAAATTTCGGTTGACTCAACTCTTTTTGACGTTAAGGGGTTACAACAAACCGACGATGATTACAAAAGATTGTGCATCAATAGAATATAAGAATTTTGATATATGCAGGTTTACTACCTTAAATACAATTTTGATGGTTTTAGAATGTTTGCTATGCATTTTTACACCGAATTTTGCCGAATTTTTCAGTTTAATACTGGCGCCCAATGTTATACATTTGAATTAGATTAGTGTCTAAAGAAACCCAAACATTTTACAAGGTGTGTAACTCTATTAACTTCATCTGTTGCTGTTTTATAGTTTGCCTTTAGATCAACAAAACTGGTAAAAGAATAAAAAACCTTTCAATGCCTCTCAACTTACGTCTTTTTATTCTCAACTTAAATTCTAGATACTGACAATTTCCACCCCATCAGTAAAACTCTTTGGTCGGCTCACGCGACTTTAAACTTTTATCGTGTCGGCCTTTTTTCGGGGATGTCTCGGGGAGGAGGTTGTGTGTGCTTGCGCGTGTACTGTTACTTCCCGTGCTCTATTCAACACGTGTCTACCTTCCAAGATGCCGTCCATACCGGTAGTCAATGAAATCGGCCCGGCCGAGTCTACTTACCAGCACGAAAAATGTCGCGGTGCGAAGGTGTCTACTGGTAAAAAATTTACCCTAAAAAACAGTTTCGTGAAGTCTAATAAGTAACGATGCCCTACAATTCCGTAAGGTACCTTATATTGTTTTCACCTAGAGCTCGGCCAAAGAGTTTGATGGAATGGGGTTGCAAATTTGAACGTCGACTTACACTAATTTTCGGTGGAGATATACCGATTAGTTTTTATAATATACGGTTGTTCTTTTTTTACGCGTACAAAGATAGAACACGAGAAATATGTAATAAAGTATAATGACTGTTGACAACAGGTTTGCTGTTTTGTTAACTCGAAGTTAGTTGGTACTTCTATCCCTGGGGGTTTTTCGTTCTTAGGCTTTCATGGATTCGAAATTATTTGGGTTGGTTCACGATGTTGGTCACTCTAAGTGATACTAAAAGAAAAAATACCTTTTACACGTAAAACTTTGTCTCACTCACAACTAAGACACTGCCTTCTACACCGCCTTGCAAGTCGACAGTACTAGTAATTTAACCCTCAAGTTAGGTGGTAAAACCTCGTCCTATTGCTATCCACACAATAACACCTCTCTTTGAGGAAGACCTCCTTTGTGGTCCCTATAATCGACATACCTGGACGCGTGGTGGGTGTGAGGAAGGTGCGACGGAGGCGAGTAGTCTTCGGTTGGAGGAAGGTAGGGTCGGCGTGGTTTAGTGGCCTGGACCCCCACTGTTCGGAGGGGCAGCGACGGGGGAGGAGACCTTGAGTGAGGGTGTTGGCTAGTGTCTGACGTGGCTGGAGTGGAGGAAGTTTTTTGAGTGTTTTTGAGTGGAGAAGTTAGACCGAAAATTACACACTAACAAAACCCTAATAAACTGAAATTGAAATTGATATATAAATAAACAACAAGGAAAGAAGAAAAGAAAAGAGAAGTGATATCGACATTTCGCGGAAACTCGTGGACATTTTCGCGATTGTTTAATTTAGATAATAATAATAATAAATAATAATATAATCGTAAGCGTCTGGTATGTTTTTGGATATATTGTGTGCTGTCCTTTCCCCTTGGTCTTTTTTCGTATTTTCCTGGAGAAATTCATACAGGACCTACATCCTTCCTTTTCACGGTTTTCCACCTTGTAATGGTCCCTGAAGTTCGTCTGTACCCGTAGATGACCATCGGTTACCCCCCTCCCCTCCAGCCACATAAACACCCTCTTGACTCCCCCCAAAATCTTGTTAACCCGACGACTCAAGTCTTATTCGAGGTCTCCCCAAATCTCAACCCCAACTCTAAAGAGGAGTGTGATGCCCAAGAATTATCAGATAGAGCTCGAGAAACGTCTAGTGGCCCAGCTGGAGTGCCTCTCGTCGCTCGTCCTAACACGAACCTAGAGCAGGGAACATAACGTGGTAGACGTCGTGGCGAGAACGAGAAAGAAGAACCCCAAACCGCGACTGACTACGTTAAACGAGTAGTCAATCTTAAAATAAGAGCTATTCGTGTAGCTCTTCGAAGAGGTCTCATCGACCTCTATAGGGTAACGACTCGCGACTGGCTACTCTCTAGTCGACGTACAGACTTATCCCGTAGGCGGCCCTGTAATTGGTAGAACGAAGACCTTCTATTTCTCCTTTGTATGAAAACAATATGTTGATTGTTGTGAATGTTGTCTCTAATTTAATTTACATCACAAGATGCCTATTGTAATACGAGATTTATTGAGGAAAGAAACGGAAGAACAAGTGAACTTTCTACTCACCTACCCTCCGTTCCTTCTACGCACTTCCACGTGACGTCGATACTGACCCCCCCTCACCATCAGACCCAGATAGCGTGACCCGAGACTTGCACTCGTAGTCCGCTCGCCCATCGCGAACCCGTTCTATGTGAGACCAAAGGGCCGATGAAAGCGGCGCATGACCAAGGACTCGAAGTTCCAAGTCCCTGAGACCACGAGCCACCACTCTTTTGCAGTTTACCCCAGACTACCCATTAAACCAAGCCTTGGACCCACTCTTCAGTACAGTACGACCTTTCGCTCTTGTCCTTCTCTTACATCTCTCCCAACACATTGCTACTAGCCACCTTAGCATGTATGTCGGATTTCATTCTACAACAATATCAATCGCGCATCACCAAGGCCTGCTAAACGTGAATCACCAAGTTAACCTATGGTTAATCTTCTCTCACGTACTCGGTGAGGAACACTTTTTTTTGTCGATGGTCAAGGAAAAATGGTTCTAAGCCCTTTTAAGGAGTTGATAGTCTCTTGGTGACTCCTCAGTGACATCTTTTTACCTCTCCTTCGAAAAACTAACTGGCACGGGAAAGTCTTATTTGAGTTATTGTTTCTGTAGATTACTTTGTTTTAAGCTCGGCTAACTGATCTCTGGGAACTATAGCGAAAGTCACTTTCAATATCAAACCAAAGCATGCTTTTGTCTTTCCCGTGCAATACATAATGCCGGCCCAGAAGCTTCTCTGCGACACAGCATAATGAGTGGTAACCGACGCTCTTCGTGCCACGCCAGCTCTCAGTGACTACGACCATAACATGTTTCAGGTCCGACTCGTCCGAACCCCTGGAACTCGCCCGCCCCTCGCTGCGCTAAAACAACGAACCTTAGAAGTCTTCCTGTCCTGTCACGACAGGTCGCCACCTAAGCTCCCTGTCAACACTATGTGCCTGTTACAACCCCTGCTGCACACGGTCTGTCTCTCGCACGTCTCCTTCCCTTCTTACTCGACGAGATTTTACATACCAAGGGGGTCAGCGCTCTCGGCTGCGTAAATAAACCTCTAAACACAAACCAATCCATTGGAACTTTACCTTCCAGACACCCACATGCTGTTCTCCCAGCTACAAGCTCCTATAATACAAGTCAATTAATGGGTGACACACTTACAGTAAAGATAGAAAGAATTTTCGTCTCGCCACCGATTGTTCCAAACTCGGAGACCTTGAAGAGTGGACTTGTAATCGGTGGACAATCGAATCGCAGAGACTACGTGTCGGTACGTTGGATACATACAGGCAAATGATCGGAAATACCAATATCGCAACAACATGACCCTCTGGAACTCACTCCCACAACCGATCACAGACTGCACCGACCTCACCTCCTTCAAAAAACTCACAAAAACTCACCTCTTCAATCTGGCTTTTAATGTGTGATTGTTTTGGGATTATTTGACTTTAACTTTAACTATATATTTATTTGTTGTTCCTTTCTTCTTTTCTTTTCTCTTCACTATAGCTGTAAAGCGCCTTTGAGCACCTGTAAAAGCGCTAACAAATTAAATCTATTATTATTATTATTTATTATTATATTAGCATTCGCAGACCATACAAAAACCTATATAACACACGACAGGAAAGGGGAACCAGAAAAAAGCATAAAAGGACCTCTTTAAGTATGTCCTGGATGTAGGAAGGAAAAGTGCCAAAAGGTGGAACATTACCAGGGACTTCAAGCAGACATGGGCATCTACTGGTAGCCAATGGGGGGAGGGGAGGTCGGTGTATTTGTGGGAGAACTGAGGGGGGTTTTAGAACAATTGGGCTGCTGAGTTCAGAATAAGCTCCAGAGGGGTTTAGAGTTGGGGTTGAGATTTCTCCTCACACTACGGGTTCTTAATAGTCTATCTCGAGCTCTTTGCAGATCACCGGGTCGACCTCACGGAGAGCAGCGAGCAGGATTGTGCTTGGATCTCGTCCCTTGTATTGCACCATCTGCAGCACCGCTCTTGCTCTTTCTTCTTGGGGTTTGGCGCTGACTGATGCAATTTGCTCATCAGTTAGAATTTTATTCTCGATAAGCACATCGAGAAGCTTCTCCAGAGTAGCTGGAGATATCCCATTGCTGAGCGCTGACCGATGAGAGATCAGCTGCATGTCTGAATAGGGCATCCGCCGGGACATTAACCATCTTGCTTCTGGAAGATAAAGAGGAAACATACTTTTGTTATACAACTAACAACACTTACAACAGAGATTAAATTAAATGTAGTGTTCTACGGATAACATTATGCTCTAAATAACTCCTTTCTTTGCCTTCTTGTTCACTTGAAAGATGATGAGATGGAGCAAAATGCATGAAGGTGCACTACAGCTATACTGTTCTATTGTATCTTGTCTATCACTGGGCTCTGAACTTGACATCAGGCGGAGGCGGTACCTTGCAGATACACTCTGTTTTCCCAGGCTACTTTCCCGCTCTGGTCCTGGAGCTTCAAGTTCAGGGACTCTGTGCTCGTGTTGAGGAAAACTTCAAATGTCGGATGGTAATTTGGTCCGAACCTGGGTGAGAATTCATCATGCTGAAAACCAGAACAGAAGAAATTAAGTGTTAACCATGATCGTGAATCTACATACAGCCTAAAGTAAATGGTTGTTTATAAGCATTAGCGCTAGGTTCCACATTGCGACTTTAGTGGTTCAATGGATACCAATGAGAAGAGAGTGCATGAGGACCACCTTGTGAAAAAAGCAAGCATTCGGAAAATTCCTCAACTATCAGAGAAACACTGAGGACGTCACTGTAGAAAATGGAGAGGAAGCTTTTTGTTGACCGTGCCCTTCAGACTAAAATCATAACAAAGACAATCTAATGAAACAAAATTGAGCCGATTGACTAGGATGACCCTTGATATCGCTTTCAGTGAAAAGTTATAGTTGGTTTCGTAGAAAACAGAAAGGCACGTTATGTAGACGCCGGGCCTTCGAAGAGAAGCTGTGTCTTTACTCACCATTGGCTGCAGGAACAGGTCTTCAGGATCAACGTGAATGCTGTATTTGTGACCAAAGTCCAGCTGACAGTGGCTTGGGATCCTTACGCGCTGAGCACCATTTTGTTGTCTGGAAATCTTCAGAAACAGGACATTTCTATCACTTGAGTTCATGACATTTATACACAACAAATGTTGACGGACGGTGCCAACAGAGAGCTGCAGGAATGAGTGAGGGAAGAATGAGCTAGCATTCTAAAATGTATGGTTCCCCCATCTCGAAGCCAACATTTATTTAATTTGTTGTTTTTGGTTAGTAACCTGAAATAAGGTCTGTGGTTTACACAAACTGTTCATGTTCAGGACATTATGTCAGTTAATACCCCACTGGTGAATGTCAGTTTCTATCTTTCTTAAAGCAGCGGTGGCTAACAAGTGACCTCTAAACTTCATCACGCTGAACATTAGCCACCTTTAGCTTAGCGGTCTCTGATGCACAGCCATGCAACCGTGATGTATTTCCTTTATAGCTTTATGTTATAGCTTTTTACTTCTGCCGATTGCATTGACGCTTCAAAAGTCATAAAAGGGGTGTCCATCTTTGGGGATTAGCAATAGGAACATCATTTGTAAGTATAGTTAAGCGTGTGTTTGCACAAGATCTAATTTTCTGCAATATTCCGAAATCCATTGCTTTTTGTCGAGGGTTAGTGTTAGGGCTATCCTACATCACCAGTGCACCACTCTACTGCCGAAAGGGAAGACAACAACAAGGAACTTTTACAGTCTAAACAAATAATGATGATAATAAAAATAAGAAACACTACATAACACCTTTAGTGCGCTTACAGCGGGTTTTGATCGCCCTTTTGGAAACAGCTTAAAAGAAGTGTTGGGGCTGATGGAGAGCACATACGGCGGATGGCTTTACCTCATGCAAAGGGACGTTGTCCAGCAGGACAATTACGGTCATTATTTGAAGCTCTTTGATCGGTGTCCGTATGTACAGCATGAGTTGGCTCCTTATTGGCCGGTTCTTTTCCATAAACCTTTTGACGATATGCCAAACAAGGCCAAAGGAAGAGAGGTGAGGGACGTCCACGACCACGTGAGTCTCTGTCATCTCCAGCGGCTTCAAGATGCTCATTCCCTCATCAGACACGTCAGCCACAGACAATGCGCCATCTTTCATCGCTGTGAAGGCAAAGAGCTGATCAACATTGGTTCATCTGCACCTAATGTATCCCTTAAAGGTCCCCTATCATGCTGTTTTTCATCAATATATTATAGGTCTCAGTTATATACAAAACATGTCTCTGAAGTGTTTGGCTCCAAACACCAATCAGATCATTGCAGCATTACCCATAATCCCCTCTGTTTCAGCCCTGTTTCCAAAGTGCTGATTCTCTGTCTGTTACTTTAGATGAAAATAAGGAGCCCCTCCCCACGCCCCTCTGAGAGAGATTTGGTTACAAAGAACTCAATGGTGCTTTAGGAGGAGATTCAGGTGATAAGGG